CTATAAATTGACCTAGGCCAGGGCTAGTGACCATGGTCTACATCTGCAGTGTCATAAAATAAAGCAATAAGCCACAAGAGGCCTTGTATTACAGTGATTTTACTACCATCTGGCTTATTGCTTTATAAAACAATAAAACAGTGACAAAATGTGATAAATATGATAAGATGCATCAGTGTTCAACACAGAGATGACATGGCTCAACCAGTTCATAACTGACATGGCTCAGCCAATCAGATTTTTTAGACATTATTCAGATGTTTTATATATTTATATTATGTTATGGTGCCTCATATATAATAGGTGGCTTGCTCTTTGAGGGTAGCTTGAGAGTATACACAGATGAGCCAAAACATGATGACCACTCAAAGATTATGGGAGGAATGTGTCACAACACACGGTGCATCACACCCTGCAGGGTATGGAGATGCATAGCCACGGACCAGTTAGACCGCCCATGGTAACCCTGTCCACTGTCGAAAGCACCTACAATAGAAGCAATGGAAGAAGGTCACCTAGTCTGGTGAGTCCTGTTTTCTTTTACATCACGTGGATGGCCAGATGTGTGTGCACCATATTTCTGAGGAAGTGATTGAAGTGAGGGAGTCTGATGCTCTGGGCAATGTTCTGCTGGGAAGGCCTAGGTCCATTTATGTGGACATGTTACCTACCCAAACATTGTTGCAGACACCCCTTCATGCCAGTTGTATTTCTTATGTTCCATAATGGTTTGAGAAACATGAAGCTCATGGTGTTGCCCTGGCCTCCAAATTCCCCAGATCTCAATCAGATAGAGCATCTGTGGGATGTACTGGAACAACAAGTCCAATCCTCTATGGCTCCATTGCACAATGCACGGGATCTGCTGCCAACGTCTTGGTGCCAGATACCACAGGGCACCTTCAGAGGTCTTGTAGAGACCATGCCTCGATGGGTCAGAGCTATTTTGGCAGCACGTTGAGGACAGCATAAGGCTATATAAGGTCATAATGTTTTGCTCATTGGTGTATACATGTACACATCCTAGCAATGAAGACCACAAGAGTCGCAGTGCTAAAATAAACCAGATGTTTGTATTTCGGGAGCCACACATCCCGAATGTCTCATTGTTGAAGCATTATACTCGGCATTATACTGAGGAATCAACATTGCTAAAGCTCTCCTCTGACAATCATTTATTTTCACCTACATGTGCACCACCAACATGTGACCAATGCATTAGGCCTCATCTGGTTCTGGGAAACTGGCGCTATATCAGTTTAAGATTTGGACTAATTGAAGTCATCTACCACCATAGCTGAACACATAATAGATATCAGATGTTCTGCACTTCTGTTTGCAGAGCATCTGAGGCAGAACCAAATAATGGTGGTTATTAGTAAAAAGAAAACAAACTGTGTTTGAAGTTTAAAGCCTTTAAAGTAAAACTAATGCCAATCCTGCCTCACATGTAACAGGTAAAACAGCGTCTTACCGAAGATTGTGTAGCCATAAGCTTAGGAAAGCTTTACAGCATTTATAATGGTCTAATGCAAACACGCAAACATGGACAAACTGTGTGAAACCTTGTATGCTTGAGCTTGTGTAAATCTTCAGCGCTCAGAATCCATCATGGAAAAAAATAAATCCTACGCTGTTGTGCCTGTTCTGTCTTTAACTCATAAACAGGGCACTGAAATTGTGCTTACAGAAGTGTGAACGAGTGTGTGTGAGAGAGAGATGGATGCAGGGACATGATAACACGCACACACACATTAGAGGCTGGTACGTGCTCTGTTCCATGTTCAGACAATGAGGACGTATGTTTTGTCTGTCGTTCTCACACAGACTCACCCCTGTGGTGTTTGCCAACTTCAGCTAATATCATATGTCTGACACACAGTTTCTCCTCTAACAGCATGAATCACACACTGTTCTGACTCACTCTAATGATTGGCCCAGAGGTAATCTAGGTATGGATTACAGGGGGTCAGGGGTTCTCAGCTATCTAATAAGGACTCCACACACTCCCTCCCCCTATAAGTAGCAACAACAAAAGGTTAAAAATGACACATACTGAGTAATGCCAATTGTACCTATGTGTAATAATAATATATTCCATATGTATTGTGTACCTAGAAGTGATAACAATATGATAACATGTACCATGCATATATTTTTTGCTCAAAGCTTTCTTTTGAAGGCCTCTCCCAAACGGTCTTCCCACAGGACTGTTCCAGCAGGACAAACTGCTTGGTCAATTTGGTCAATTCTGACAGCAGGACTATATCCGGTCAAAAGGTAGTAGTTGCTAGGGAAATTCAGTTGCCATTCAAGATCGTCTACAAGCTGCCAGTAACTCCCTGATATCAAAGTGTTTGTGAAGGCTCACAAGCTCCTATGAAGGTCATGACACTTTTGGTGGGGTGGGACCGCTTGGCCACCTATTCTGATGAACGTATTAGAACCTTCATAATAATAATAATAACAGTTTGTACTGCACACATAACTCAGCTAGATTAGCCTCACTGAGTAAGGCATTTATTCCGTGGCTATAAATTTTGGTTTTAAACTATGGTGTATTTCTTTTTGTTGCTGCTAGCTGTGTACGTGTTTGCTCGCTAATTAGCAAGCTAGCAGAGTAAAGCAATAAAGTTGTATCTGTATAAAACAGATTAGTTTACTGCCCAAATTGACCAAATTGAATGTTATAGTTTTAAAATGTTAAGTATTTTAAAGTGTATTATTACTGTGGCTAACAAACAGTTTTATTCACCATTTTGAGCTTTTGAAAAGGTAATTGTGTCAGATTACAATTTCAGGGCAACTTCTGCTGCTGAAGTCGACTCTTCAGACATTCAGTTCATTTAAAGGGACGGTTTGAAAGAATCAGCTTGTAAAATTGAAACTTAAATCAAAACTTCTCATCACTTAAGTACAGATTTTGGCTTTGGTGTGAAATTATGACAAAGAACTGAGACTTAAAGGTTATTTACCTCAGCCTCCTTAACAAGTTAGGCCAAAAACAAGGCCGAAATTAGTTATCATAAGCTCTAGCTCGACATCTGGATCCTGTATATTAAAAAAATAACAGATCGGTTGCGCAACAAAAGAAAACTTGCCTCACAGCAGTCAGTCTGTTCTTATCGCAGTTCTTTGTTTATTTGATCTGCTGTTCTTGCTGGCTGTGCTCCTTCTTTGCTAAATGGGTCGCTTTAGTTTGGTACATGTCCAGGCAATGCTGCTGACTAGAAATGAAAGCAAGGCTGTGTCTCTTTGAACCCAAATGCTGGTAGACATATGTACAGGCTAGTATCTTCATAACCAAAACACCAGGTGTCAGTAGTCAGGGAGTGTCGGAAGCTCATTTCTGATTAACATGCCCAAAACTTCAGGGCAGGTACTGACATAAGGCTTTATGTCAAGTACCTGTGCTGATTTGTCTGCATGCACCATGTGCAGACATGACCGTGGTTTCCGACAGCCTCCTCTAGGCCTAGTCTACAGGAATGTCACAATGGGAGTCTATAGAAATAAACATGTACTACATTCTCTCTCTCTCTCTCTCGCTGCCCTGCTGAGCACAAATAAGTAAAGCTAGTAATGGAATGAGTAATTGTGTGGTTCATGATCAGAGGCTGGCTTTCATAAAATTCCATATTACACCCACACACACACACAGTTTAGTTTTTCGACAATGTCAGGATGTGGGGTCACACACATTGTCCATTTCATGCGTATTATATATACTGGGAGGCCAGTGTGTATATATATATATATATATAAATATATATATATATATATATATATACAAACACACACACTCACACACATATACATATGTGTATATATATATATATATATATATATATATATATATATATATATATATATATATATATATATATATGTCTGAATAAAACCTTGTATCTCCATTTTTAATTGAAAATTATTACTAATGTTATTATTTTATTACTAAAAGTATATAATTTGAAAATGCCTGTTGCTTTTTACATTGTGTGTAAATTTCATGAAGAATGGACCAAAAGAAATGACCCAAAATGACTTGGAAAAAAGTCTGGCTCCACTTACATTAAAAGTAAAGTAGGTTTTTTCCTTCTTCTGTAAAGTTACCATTTTGGAGATACAAGGTTTTCTTCCGACAACAGTGATATATTATATTATATATCATAATTATTACATATATAAAAAAACGCATTATACCTCTACATCTTTCAACTTCAAATCTAAAAGATCTTTAAAAAAACTTTGAAAAAACAAATAAATTAAGCTTTATTCAAGTTGAAATTAAGGGGTTAGTGTTTGGGACAGCCACCTCTCATATGTTACTTCAGCAGAAAGTACCCTATAAATAATGATTCTGCATTTATTTGGCTTTTCTTCATTAATGCTCTAGGTAAATAGATCATGTCGTTATCATTATAAATGTCTAAGGTCTTTTTTTTTGTTTTTTGTTTTTTTTACTGCTGTTTCAACCAATTCGGTAGAATGGTCCATATATTGTCACTGTGTAATGAAAAAAATAAAAAAAAAATAGTAATAAAAATAGTAACGTTAGATGTAAGTTAATGTACTAATGTACTTCATTCTAAGTGACTCTGAAGTATTTCTGTTGGTTCATTAATAGTAAAATTCTCACACAGTCTAAAGAACAGCCACTGTGTTCAAATGAAATACCAAACCTAACCTCAATATTAACCTCAGTATCCAAAAGGAAATGGTTTTGCTGGTTCAGTTTCTAAAAAACAAGCCTGGAGCTTTTGTAAGAAGCTTTACAAAGTCAGGGCTAGTCTTGGTCCTGTAGCTCAGCCCTGTTTTTCTCTGGTTTTCCTACAAAGTGAGAACTTTTTGCTCCCAAAAAGGTATGAAAACAAACACGCACATTTACACAGTTTTGAATGTGCTGGGACATGTCTTCGCAACTAAAAGACGTCAACATGCAGGAACAAAAGACCCCAAACTGCTTGCCCCCAGCTGCCAGTAACAGAAAGGGAAGGAGAACAAGAAAGAGGGAGAAAGAAAAAAGTGGGCTAGATGAAGGGAGATGAAAAGAGAGAGAGAGGGGGAGAGAGAGAGAAAGAGCAGTAGCAGGGAGTCAGGCATGCATAGAGGAGGATGGGGCTGTACAGAGGGAGGGGACACTTTTTTCAGCAAGAAGAAAAGAGGAAGGTGGAAGGCGAGTGCGCCTCAGAGAAAAAGAAGACAGAACTGAAGTACGAGACGTCTGCTGGAAAGGACGGGCTGCGCTAGAGGGGACCACGCAACAAAACTGATTTTCTACAGGTAGGCATACAGCTTTCTCAGTCCTATCCTACTGGTACAGCAACAGGTTGCCATGACAACAGAGATCAAGGGCATGCAAAAGGTGTAAATGACACTCTTTTATTCTGTTAGTGAGGCTTAAAGTTTCTTGTCTGTTGGCCAACATATACAGTAGTACCATTACCTATACATTCATGGCCTTCTTGTAAACGTTTGATCAAATTAATGAATGGCTTTAAACTTTTTCAACACAAAATGGTAGATCTTTCCCCCCATGTGGACCTAGTGTGTAGCCAGGTTCCCACAGAAACAGTCTGGCTCAGAGCCAGAAGGGGTTCAAGGATGAAACATGTCCCAAGAAGCTGGCTGGAGTGCTGCAGGGAGTAAGAATAGACTCCAGTGTTTACTGTGAGTGTCTTTCCATCTATGGGAACAGAAAGTTCCAGGTCTATGGTCAACACCGAACTACATATTATCACCCAGAGGGCAGCTTTCAGTGCAGCTTTTGAGTGTAGGTGGGATAAAGATGAATAGGGCTTGACTTGGTTTGAGTTGAGATGAACTTTTGTTTGTTGCGATGGATTGTAATATAAATATTTATCCAAGGGCTTCTGAATATTAAGATAATATATGTAATTTATTGGTATTTATGGTAGGATCAACTGATTAAAAAATAGGATTACCCTTATAAAGTGTTTATGAATGGTTTAAAATGAGTTAACGGTTATTGGTTAGGTCATAAAAACTTTAAAAATCATTAATAAGCAGTTATAACACATTAATGAAAAGTGAGCTATAATTTCTAACGGAGAAACATTTGTGATGTGACTGACAGGTTTAATGCTGACTGATGCAGAAGACAAAATAAGATCAGTAAACATCAAAAATTTTAAATTTAAACATATAAATGAATGAGGGTTCACTATTAGGCAAACAACGGGTCACTGTTGCCATTGTTATTCATGAGTTGTAACTGCTTATTAATGATTTTAAGGTCTTTATAACCTTATTAATAACCATTAATACACACATTTTAAATAATTAATGAACACTTTATAAGGGTAGTCTTATTTTAAAGTGGTACCCTAATTTTAATGTCTCTTTCAATGTAATACCAATTACACTCTCATAAGTAAAGGTTCCTAAATGGTTCTTGGCTTGGATGTACAGTTCTTGGAAAAACCAATTGGTACAGAGCTTCTACATTATGCTCATAATATGAAGGTTTTGTACCAGTAATTTTTTTTTCCTAGAACTGTACATCCTTAATTGGGAAAATTGGGAAAATATGTAAATTTGTGAAGATATGTTCTAAATTTCTAAAGGTTCTTCACACTTACACATTTACAAAAATAGTTCTTTAAAGAACTGAAACCTTATGCTCAAGCATGTAGAGGTTTTTTCAGGAAAGCCTACACTATTAAAAAAAGGTTCTTCAAGGGTTCTTTAGTAAACAAAATGGTTCTATATAGAACCATGAACACTCAAAGCACCACTTTGCATGATCAAAATGTTCTTTACATCGTGAAAGAGTTCTTCAGATTGTTGGAGAACCTGCTGCAGATGGTTCTATATAGAACCTTATTTAAAAAGGGTTCTACAAAGCACCAGAAGGGGTTCTTAATAATACTAGAAGAACCCCTTCTGGTGCTATATAGAATCCTTAAAAAAATCTATATAGAACCATCTACAGCACATTCTCCAACAATCTGAAAAACACTTTAACAATGCAAAGAAACTTTCAATATGCAACGGGTTCTTGAATTGTTCTATATAGAACGATTTTCTTTACTAAAGAACCCTTGAGGAACCATCATTTTTAAATATGTAGCACATTCTCCATCAATCTGAAGAACGATTTCATGAGGCAAACAACCATTTAATCCCACAAATGTTTTTTTTTGATTGTTCATGGTTCTATATAGAACCATTTTTTTTACTAAAGAACCCCTGAAGAACCATCTTTTTTAAGTGTGTAGACAATCACAAAGCTGTATAATGGAATCTAATGAAAACTCCTTCTGAGTTTAGATTACATCACTGTGCACAAGTGGGAAGGGAAAAATAACATCATGGCTGTGATTCAGTCACTGGTATGAGCTGAAGGCGAATGCAGTAGATCATCACAGCTATGATGTTACCCACAATAACACAAAGCCTTTGGTGTTTTGTTGCTTTTATGAAACAAAATATAGAAAAAGGTAAAACAAATATGCTTTAATATTTTAATATTGGCAACTCCGTCCACCACAAAAAGTGGTACGTAGAGCCAAAAAGCTGTTGCAATATCAGGTTCAGCTCAGCTTTTTCAATATTTCACAGCCCATCTTATTGGCTGAATTGGAATTCATTTAATGTCTGGCTAGCGTGGGTAGAATGCCTCTCAACCAATTTAATTGCATTGTTGGCACTGCTGTATAACTGGAACTGCAGTATGGAAGGAAAAATAGTAATTTTCCATTTACGTCGACTTCAACGTACAAAGCCTGTGATAAGAGGAAGGTTGGTTTCTCTGGCTAATGTGGTTTTGGATTTATCTGAGAAAAATTTTAAATCCTTCCTCTTCTTCATGGTGAAACTGCTGTTCAGGACAACCGAAAGGATCATTAAGATATTTCACGGACAACATTTGGTGTTGCACAGTGTAAATGCAAGCTCTATGTTACAGAATCTGTGTAATATTTTGACGACCTCCGTGTCACCGATTCTGATTATTTGAGTCATTTGAGCTGTTTCTTGTAATTTAGTTAGTATGTATTAATGAATACAGCATTCAAATGCATGATGTTAGTAACAGTGTGTGAAATACCTCATGGTATTTGTGGGCTCCTATGTTGGATGGCTGCTAACTCACTCACCATAGCGGCCCTGATGCATCTACAGCAGCAAAAAATTTTGTTTAACAAGTCTTCTTTCGGAAATGCTCTTTACTAGTTTGGTAATGCACTCTTTTGCACATTAACTGAGATCTTTTCAACAATCTCTTTGGAAACTGTGCAATTTTTCAGCTTTACAAATATGCTGGATATAGTTGGTACTGGGTGAACCAGTTTGCTACAGTGCCACCCTGAGGCAGACCAGTGCTGCATCTCTAGTTAGTTAAGAATACCAAAGACAGAAGCTTGCTGATAGTGGGTGAGGCAGCTAAACAGTGATCTTTCCCTGAATTTGTATTTGAGTGTCTATTTTACCCTAACAGACAGCATAACATTGAGATAAGTTTATTTTCAGGGACACCCCCAGGATTCTGATTTTGAAATATTCATGGGGTCCATGAGGTTAATTACGAAGTCCTAGACCCCCCCAGGACCCACTGCATTTCACACTTTGTATTAACTACTTGTAATGTAATTCAGTAGAATCGGCATAACAAACTGCTGCAAACCTGCAAAAATCACTGAAACTCTTCAAACCTCATTTAAGATGACATCGTTAAAATCAGTAAAATCTTAAACATAGATTAGGGTCCACATTACAGAAAACCTTGCCGTTTGGAAAAAAGCAGCCGTTCATTCAGCCAGCATGAGTTTAGCTGGCCATTCACATTGAGGTGATACAGAGTGTTGTTCCTGCAGACAGTCTATAGCATAGAGTTATTGAAGTGGAATATGTGATTTTTTTCCAGCATTCCTGAAGATCTGAACGGAATGTGATGTGCATTATTTGTCTTGCGAAAGGGTTAACCAGTCAAAACAGAGGTCTTTTACATAATTAGTCTTAAAGATACAATAATAAAAACAGCCAGTTTAATTCAATGGGACAAAAAGAGTTTTGGAAGTAGTCATGTAAAATGTATTATGACTGTTTTTGGTACATAAAAGTTAATATATCCCTCAGCCAACTTTTTATGTTTTTTACAGATTCACAATGACTTTGGCGTCAAACTTTACCCTCTTCCTGATGGCCTTCATGGTGGACTTCCTGTGGGCCACCACTGTGAGCCCCTTAGCGTCTCAATCTCCGTTAACAAAAATTCACATCATCTACATTGAAGATGATTATGACTATGGCGAAGGAACCCCTCAGCCCAAGCCTAACTCGAGTCTTCCTCGGTTAACCACTGCCCAATCCACCCCACAGGCGTGTGACTATGACCTCTGTGTGGTGCAGGACGTTCCCTGCTTTATGCTCTCCACCAAGACCAAGTGCTACTGTCCTGGGCTTACAGGCCCAGAACAGGTCCCTGAACCCCCACAGCTGCGGGAGTTGAAGCAGAGGGCGTCTGGGGAAGTGGAGGTCTACTGGTGCGCCCCGCTCTCTACCATAACGCACTACAAGGTGGTGATGGACGACGAAGAAGGCCATGGGCCAGTTTTTTCTGAGTTGTCCCGGAACGGAACAATCCAGGGACTGAAGGTTGGGTCCCGGGTGTGTGTTGTGGCTGTCAATAATGCTGGATTCAGCGTCAAGAACGACAGGTCATGTGCTCGCTTTGAGCCACAACAGACCAGCCAGGCTGCCCTCATGTCAGGGGTAATCGTGGGGTGCATCGGCTTCCTTGTACTGCTCTCATTGGCTGCGCTGTTATTATGGAGACGAAAATCTTGCAAGAAGAGTGGGACTTTGGATGGGGTGGGGCTCCGGAATCCCACATACAGTGCTAACGAGACAATATGATTGGACATGAGAGGGACAGCAAAGATGCTGTGATGGACTGAATGAATGATGGCGCACTGTGATTGGACGGTGAAAGGAGCGAGATAGTTAGACCGAGGGAATGTTTCAGGACATTAAAGACAAGCTAACATGGAATATTAAAGAGTAGAACAGAGCACTACTAAGAAGTTAAATGATGTATTGCACCACTGTGTGAATGACCGAATACATACACTACAGGCCAAAAGTATGGAGGCACTGGTTGCACTGTAACGGTGTTATTGTTTACTAGAGTTCATTATACCAATTACTTCACATTGTAATGATCACTCAGCTTTAGAACCACTCTAAAGTCTTTATAAAACGTGCAGGGGAGGCAAAGAGTGACCTAGTTAACGGAAACACAAAACACTATCCTAACAAAACATGTTAAATGCATTTAAATGTAATCTTTATGGTGAGAATATTTGCTATCACAAAAATGACCTGAAAATGAAATGAACTGTAGGTGAAGAAATAAATTTATCAACTGAAACGAACAAAATAGCAAGGTAAACAGGGAAGCTCCGCCCACAGCAACTGCCATAAATGATGATTGGAAGTATAGCTTCTTTCTGAAGGCCCTCTAGTGGCCATTTCTCATTCAAATATTTTTTTAATTATTACAATTCAATAAATACTGTTATCAGATTACCTAGGACACTGTACCGCTGTGTTTGAAATGTTGAGCTGCTAGTGAGCAATGAGGTGTGGGAATAGCAGTTTATGGCTACTGTGTAAAAGGGTCGGAAGAGTGCCGTGCTTACACACCCCTAAAACACTGTATTTAAATATTTATAATATTTATTAAGCCAAAGTTTAGGCAATCAGTACAAAAACATGTTTATTGACATCTGGTTCAACCAAAGAAGTTCTTCTAAAACATTCCATTGGTTAACAAAGCTGTACTCTTACTCTATTATATGGCAAAAGCCTAAGCCTGGACTAAAAATGATTTCAAAAGGTGATTCATCATCACAACTGCAATTTAGACTAAGACTAGGCCTAATCCATGTCTAGGAAACGAGACATGCCTGTATGAGTTAATCAAGCCTTCAGGAGCATCGTGAATGGTGGATTTAGGTGGATCTGATTAGAGCTGAAATAATACCCTGCAGGGGAATCGGCCGAAGCTAAACAAAATGAGAAGTAGAAGACTTTAAAGCCACTATTTACAGCTGAAGTAGTTTTACAAAGTCAGTGTTGCTTCCAAACTTTTGGCCTGTATTGAAATACTGCTTTAGGCCCATCACACACCTGCTGAAAGCTACTCTACATGCTCCACATGTTTCAAAACAGTTTTAATAAAAAATGTGTACGTTGTTTGTAATGTTTAATTCAACTAATGGTGCTGGAGCACCAGGGAAGCCTGGCGCTTCTTTAAGGTTTTATATAGTATTAGTTTTACAGTTTGTGTTTAAAGTTGTGTAGATGCACAGAATTGTTCATTATGTTTTTTTGCACAACTAACATTTTTAAAATAAACTTGTATTTAACTGCGTTTGTCAAACTGAAATGATTTCTATTGTGAGTTTAAAAGTTCAATTGTGTTTTATTTTGGAAACTTTTTGAAATAATTTTTTAAATAAAAGACTTAAACACTGTAAAAGTTACAAAAAATATACTGCTCAATTCCCAGTCCATACAGTCCAAATATACAAACAAAGCTGCAAAAACGGCCTGAGGTCACAGACTCATTTACATATATCTGCAGTTTAGCCATGCACATTCACTCTGAAGTTTTAAGGAGTGTTTCAGCCCAGACTGCTTTTTGAATGATGCACGATACATGGCAGCCAATCACAACATTGATCATTTACATTATCATCAGTCTTAAAGGCTGCTTTGCTAACACTGTTTTCTCCTTTATCCCCATTTTCTTAAGTATCACATTACGAGCACCATGCACTTTATCTTTTGATTTGTCTTTGTTTTTTCTCTTACTCTCCATTCTGTGTATCTTTTTCATGACATATTTTCTCTGTGATTGTAAACCACCATATCTGACACAGGAAACATATTTCCATGTGGGGGTGTAAATTAACTGCACCTACACTGTGTGCCAGTCATTCAGTAGGCATGTGAATTTGAACAGTAGGCATTATTCAAAGCTTGCATCACCTCCTCTTTTTTATGAGGGCAGTGAAGAGACATGAATGTGAATGTGGAGAGGAACGTGTCTGACAGAACGAGTGGAAAACAAGCACATGAGAATTAGTTCAGTCAACTACGCTAAATGTTTCGCAACACCACACCGTCCCTCCCTGTGAGTAACTGGTTACATCAATTTCTTAACCATCTTTCCTAATCTGGATGATGGTGCAGGTGTTGGAGTGAGTGGAAACAGATCCAGTGCAAGTCATAATCTCAGCAGAAACAGATCCAGTGCAAGTCATAATCCCAGCAGAAACACATCCAGTGCAAGTCACAATCCCAGCAGAAACACATCCAGTGCAAGTCATAATCTCAGCAGAAACAGATCCAGTGCAAGTCATAATCCCAGCAGAAACACATCCAGTGCAAGTCATAATCTCAGCAGAAACAGATTCAGTGCAAGTCATAATCTCAGCAGAAACAGATCCAGTGCAGGCAATGGAGTTAGCAGAAACAAATCCAGTGCACGTGATGAAGTTAGCACAAACCGATCCAGTACAGTTTAGCAGAAACAGCTTGAGTGAAGTGAAAGAGTTAGCAGACACAGATCCAGTGCAGCGGATGACGTTGGCAGAAACAGATCCAGTGAAGTGATAAAGTTAGCAGAAACAGATCCAGTGCAGGTGATGACATTAGCAGAAACAAATCCAGTGCATGTGATGAAGTTAGCAGAAACAGATCCAGTGCAAGCAATGAAGTTAGCAGAAAAAGCTCCACTGAAGTTACAAAGTTAGCACAAACTGATCCAGTACAGTTTAGCAGAAACAGTTCCAGTGAAGTGAAAAAGTTAGCAGAAACAGATCCAGTGCAGCGGATGACGTTGGCAGAAACAGATCCAGTGAAGTGATAAAGTTAGCAGGAACAGATCCAGTGCAGGTGATGACATTGGCAGAAACAGATCCAGTGAAGTGATAACGTTAGCAGAAACAGATCCAGTTCAGGTGATGAAGTTAGCAGAAACAGACCCAGTGCATGTGATGAAGTTAGCAGAAGCAACTCCAGTGAACAGATAATGTTAGCAGAAACAGATCCAGTGCAGATGATGAAGTTAGCAGAAACAGACCCAGTGTAGGTGATGAAGTTAGCAAAAGCAACTCCAGTGAACAGATAAAGTTAGCAGAAACAAATCCAGTGCAGGTGATAGAGTTAGCAAAATCAACTTTAATGAACTGATAAAGATAGCAGAAACAGCTGCAGTGCAGGTGATGAATTTATCAGAAACAGCTGCAGTGCAGGTGATGAACTTATCAGAAACAGATCCAGTGCAGGTGATGAAGTTAGCAGATTTTGCTTCACTGACCATTCAGTCTGACATATAGATTGTCTGACATATAGACTGTGCCAGCCTTTCATAAATAAAACAGTTGAACGCAAAAACGTTGGTCACTCCAGCCAAATACCATGTTTTGTTGATTTGGTCTAAATGAACACAAGTCAACACACCTTCTACAGAGAACAAACTTCAGCACATTTTAATGTACAGTTACTGTTTATTTGCTTATTTAATATATCAGAAAAAATGTGCCCTGTGCAAAAGTGATGGCACATTCAATATTTTATGTTTTATTTTGTTCCAATATATTCAACTCAGCAAATTGTGCACTAAAATTAGCAGAACAATGGTATATATAAAGTTATTCCCTGCAGAGGATTCACTTATTTTCATTGACTAATCTGACTGTGGATGTTTAAACTTTCACATGGACTCTTAAGACAGAGCTGCACTTTATCAGAGTGTGAATAAATGAAAGAATTATGTGAAATTTATAAAATATGAGATGACACATCTCCAGTTTAATAATTTCTCTAATAATAACAAACTGCCCATCATATTAGAAGAAATCAGAGAAAGAAGCATTTATTTAATATAATAAAAAACTTTAATTTTCCAGACTTCAGACTGCTATTCTTGTTGTTCTTTCATGCTACTATTTGATTTTATCTATTCTTCTTCTTCTTCTTCTTCTTATTATTATTATTATTATTATTATCACATAACTTTGAGAGCTCTTATTATGTAAAGTTTTAAATGATGTTATATTGATGATTGAGAGAGAGAGAGAGAGAGACTTGCTGCATTTACAACGTCACAATATGGGACTTGCGGCCTCTGCTGGTTGGTCAGAGACAGTGCGGGTGTTTCTACCTCAGTGTCGGGGGTTATCTGCACATTATGCAGACTGGATCGCCCACAGAGTAGAACACAGTCTTTTTTAGCGTAATCTCATATATTTGTGTACACTGGATTGAGAGAGAGAGAGAGAGAGAGAGAGAGAGAGAGAGAGAGAGAGAGAGAGAGAGAGAGATTCAGTCTAAATATTAGGCCAAAGGTCAAAGTTAAATAAGATTAGAGAACAGTATTATTTCAGGTAAAAACTGAAGCAAAACTGGTTAAAAATGATTTTCTGTGTTTATAAACCGCTCCTAAACACAGAAGACTAGTTTAATCAGATGAGTGGAAGAAGACGAGACAGAACACGGTGGAGCTCTGTCGAAGATGAACTCGCAGTTCCAAACGAACGATTGTATTTCATAATAAAAGTTCCAGTAGTTCTATGGTGGCAGATCTTGCCGATTACACCCTGTTCCTCCTGCTTAGTGTTAAAAACGTTTTCACACTTTTAACTCTTTGTACAAAATCAACTCCACTTACCATACAAGTGCACTTTGTAGTTCTACAATTACAGACTGTAGTTCATCTGTTTGTCTGTACACATTGTTAGCCCCTTTCACCCTGTTCTTGAATGGTCAGGAACCCCACAGGGCCACCACAGAGCAGGTACTATTTGGGTGGTGGATCATTCTCAGCACTGCAGTAACACTGACGTGGTGGTGTGTTAGTGTGTGTTGCGCTGGTGTGAGTGGATCAGACACAGCAGTGCTGCTGGAGTTTTTAAACACCTCAGTGTCACTGCTGGACTGAGAATAGTCCACCAACTAAAAGTATCCAGCCAACAGCGACCTGTGGGCAGCGTTCTGTGACCACTGATGAAGGACTAGAGGATGACCAACACAAACTGTGCAGCAGCAGATGAGCTCTCGTCTCGACTTTACATCTACAAAGTGGACCAATAAGTTAGGTGTGTCTAATAGAGTGGACAGTGATTGATTGAGTCTGATCCACTCACACCAGTACAACACACACTAACACACCACTACCATGTCAGTGTCACTGCAGTGCTCAGAATGATCCAACACCCAAATAGTACCTGCTCTGTGGTGGCCCTGTGGGGTTCCTGACCATTCAAGAACAGGGTGAAAGGGGGCTAACAATGTGTGCAGAGAAACAAAGTAACAAAGTATGCAGAGAAACAGATGGACAACAGTCTGTAATTGTAGAGCTACAAAGTGCTGACACACACACACACACACACATGTATATATATATATATATGTATATATATATATATATATATATATATATATATATATATTTACAAATCTAAAAGACCAGCAGATTTGTCTTATTGAGCTGCTGTGCATTTGAATGTATTTTTTATTATTCACATTAAAATTAGGGTAAAATAAAATGGTCCACATCCATAGAAATTTGTGAGAACCAAAACTGCCGATGTAATCACATGCCAAAAAAAAATCATTTATTTAAATTAAAGTAAAAAGTAAGTAGTTAAAAGTTAACCGTAAATATTTTAGGAATTAAGATGTTTACATTTTAGTTTTACATGCTTGAGTGTATTTGAATGTCAATGTTTTTTGCTTTCTCTCAAGTGTATTTTTGACTCCAAACTTCCGTTTTTTAATTGAGTAATTAATTTGTCACAGTACCCACAGTACTTTCACTTAAGCACAGTTTCTCTGTACTTTTTCCAGCCCTGATTTTTAATTAGCACTTCAACCGAGATAAGGAACTTCAGAAGGTTCTCCTTATCTCTAGTGTTAATTTTAGTACTTTTATTTTGAAAAAAAACAGAGCGAGGCCTCTGTTTGGTGCCCTTTAGTCTGCGCAGATGAGCGCTGTGACGGTAAATGACTGTCAGATCCTCCTCCAGCTGAAGAGCTAAAGCGGCTTTAATGGAAACTCCGACCCGCTGAAACCGCGTTATATGTGTGTTTATTTTCCGCCAGATATATGTAGCTAAATCCGGCACTCAGACAGCCACCCGACTGAAGATGTCAACGCCGGGTTATACAAACAATCTTAACTCGTCTGTTCATAATTACGGCATGAACCCAACGCAGAACGGAGCTGCGGCGCTTCATCAACATCATCATCATCACCGAAACGGTACGGGATTAGCGGAGCGGAGCGGAGCTAAGCTAACGGGGTTTGGCTCCCTATCCGCCAGCTTCTTATTCGAATTTTTCCGTTCCACCTTAAATGGTGCA